ATAGTATTTAGTCAACCTTGGCTGTCCAAAAGAGGCGATTTGAACCTGAAAAGACTCTTGTTTGCTCCATACTTTTGTCGGATCTGTGAAAAACATGGGGTATTGTGGATCGCGAGCTCTGCGTTTAGCGTATATCCCAAGTTGGGTAATGTTTGGTGAGAAATTCCCCCAGCGCCCAAGACGAGAAAGGCAATCAAACGATTCAGAGCCTCTTGTTGCACTAGCACAGGCCATCACGGCAACAAGCATGGCTTGCGCTAAATCTAGGCTAACTTGGCTGTTACACTTTCTCTGGTGATACGACGTTGAGCTGCCCTTGGGGGGCAACAAAACAGCGAACCTTGGTATGGGGTGCCAAAATAAACTCATCAAAAGCTATCCTAAGCTTGGACTATATTACCTGAGTCTTTAGACTATATTACCTAAGTCTTTTTGTCATTTAGGATCAAGGTTCTGTATTTTCTTTCCTCCCCTAGGCTGCGCTGCCACGTAGGATAAAGCCACTTTGAAAGCATCGGCCCCTCGGCATTGTGAATTGAGACACGTTTGCTTGTGCCTGAACCTGGTACCTGGGCTCGAGAACCTTGATCGTTGTCAGCCTTAACATGGGTATGGGAGTGAGATCTTAGTGTCCAGTCAAGCGATAGACGAAACTCGGCGAGTCTGGGGATTGTCAATGCGCCGATGGATCAGCGCACTAGCCTCAGATCGATCCTCAAGTCTAGAACTGAGTCAACAAGTATTAATGACGTCTATTCCAAATCATGCAATCATTAGTTCCGAGAGAAGAATAACGCTATGAAGAATAAGCTATTCCCAAATGCCCGGGTGAATTGAGAAAACGGTCGTCGCGGTGGATCTAAAAATACCCCAAGCGTAGGTTCAACAACGACGTTGACGGTAGTGGAAAGGAACACCCGCTCTTAGTACGCCCAACGGCGATCATCATGGCCCGTATAGAGCGCCACAGTTGGGAAAAAACGGCCAGTGATGCATCGCCACAGATTTTGGTGGCGGGTTGTTGGTGCGACAAGGTTTCTGCTACTGCAAGCCATGCCAATAGCTCGTCGATAGACTTGTCGATAGTTTGTAGCTGACAGTCCCAAGAACCAATGATTTGGGATGATATACACGGGGATCAGAGAAGATGGAGACAGGACCGGTGAATTGGATTTGATTTCGTCATGGTCTGATTATTACATGCTGCATCTCTTGCGGGATAGCATTGTGGAGTCACAGTGATTGAGAGGATTATTCCGCGGAATTGAAACCTCATGTAGACTTGGGCGTTTGCATTCGCATTTTGATATTGTAACACCCGCCTCGTATATTGAACCGGGCTGACGGGTTTGTGCCGTATTACCGTATCATCGACCCAGTAACCCGTTTACCGTGCTGTGATCAGGCACGCAGTGAGACGTGGCATGGTTGATCTGACGGTAGCAAATAGCAATTGACAACCCTGAGCGCATTGCATTACCATCCATGCATGTCCAATGTTTGCTCGTAACGCCTCGTCGGGACCGTCTCGGCACAGACCCGTGCTAGAATCACAAGTTGGACCTCAGATCGAAAAGGAAACATCAGGATGATACTAACTTAGTTAAAGCGAGGGGGGAGAAATAAACTACCACTAGACGATGAGCTAGACCTTTGACCTCCCATCTCAGGATCCAAAACTTCGTGATGATACTACCCTTGTAGCTTGTTTCCGCCGACATCCGGTACTGCATTACCCCGCAACATGGCTTCAGCAACTCATTTCAGCAAGACGATACTGTGACTAATTTATTGACATCGTGGTATCACTGCATGGCATAAGGTAGAAGACTAGAAGAACGAGAGGCTTGCCGACAAACCCGGAAATCAATCATCCAGAGCTGGAATGTTGACCGAGAGCCTTCGGATCCACGGCAGTTGTGTAATCCCTGCAACTCAAGTCCTAGAGCCTCATTTCACACCTCAACCACCGCTCGCGAACGGAGGCCCTACCCATTTTAATCTTTTGAGGCCCAGAGGAGAGATTTTCACCGCTAACTGAAGTCTTGAAGGAGAAAGGGCTGGAGATTCTCGGCCGGGAGTCGGCGCATCCGCCTAAGTCTTCCCATTCGGATACCTATTATGGCCTGCACGTGTCAACTGTTTCCCCTCTTCAGTCTTCAGGTGAGGCTGGTCTAAAATCTCACTGCGATTTGATTGTTGAGAGGAGGGTGCTGGGATCGGAGTCTACTGGGCGCGATGATACCCAATGTGGCAGGACTGAGCCGAAGATCTCTGTTATTTTATACAGAGGGTGTAATCTACTAAACGGGGTTATTTGGTTGTTGTGAACGTTATTAGTGAGTAAAAGCATGGGAGAATGTCGGTTGAGTGGTGGTGCAAGTAATGGGCTCCAACTTGAATGGAGAGGGTTTAGAACAGTGCCTGTAACAAGACGAGAGCCATATTCCACAACGATGGAGAATAATGAGAATCCAGATGGATCTATCGCAGATATGGATTGGTTGTCGAGGTAGTATGTACGTGTTTGCAAGGCCCGGCAGCGAGCACGCAGTCGAGTCAACGCGGAAACATAGCCATACATGGCCGAGTATACAGGGTAGGTTTCAACACAACGCCTGAACAAAATGCTCTTTCATAATTATCAGATTCATCTCGGATACCTAGCCAAGCTCCTCACACATTGATATCTTACCTATCTTGAGGTGCTGGCCTACCTTTCTCAATCTGTGCCACTTCCTCTTTCTCTTCCCTCCCATTTTCAATGCTCATTCCATGACCAACTACTCGACTCTGCCTAGCAATAGAGACTGTTTCAAAGATGTTGCTACTGTCCAAGAAGATGCCGTCGACCTCCTCTAGGTGCCGCCCGCTGGTTTCTGGGAAGAAGAAGTACACGCCTGTGATGAACAGTCAGAGACTTTTGTATCTTTCTAAGGTAAGAGGCAGTGCACTTACTTGGAAAGGTGAGACAGATGTTAATGGCGGCGTAGATGATGTAGTATTTATACTTGAGGGTAGCTAGTCCGATAGGAGTAATTTCAGCAACAACCTATGAGCTCTTAGTTAGATCTTCTTTCATCACACGCATATACTTAATCTTACAAAGTTGAACAGCCAGGCAGTGGCTAATACTAGTTAGTGAAAGACAACTACAGAGTTCAGAATGGATTAACATACCAGTTGACATAGCCGTGATGGGCACTCGGTGGCTAAGAGGTGAAATCTCCGCAGCATACAGAAATGTAAGTCCAAGGAACCCAGTGGGGAAGAACAGCGAGAAAAGGAAGATGAAAGCAGCTGCTACACCCACCGATGCCGTGTTTCCCGGCTGTGACGACCCGCCTGCAACAACAGCCATACAAACGCCCATCCCCAAAGACGAGACCATCATCAACTTCCGACGTCCAAACCTGTCGACCGTCAAGACACCAATGGGCGAGCAGATGGTCTGCCAGGTGAAGACCGAAGCAGCAATGATCTTTGCCGCCCTAGGCGTTTGGCCAAGGTAGTCTTCGAAGATCTTGGCTTGATAGAAGGCCAGGGCGTTGATGCCGCTCATTTGCTGGAAGCATTGCGCCGCGCAGGCGAGACACATGCGGTGCAAGAGACGGAGAGGGCCGTTGGTGAAGATATCTTTTAGCTTGGCTTCTCCTGCAAGGGCTAAAGATGTTTCGATCTCGCGGATTGCTTCGCGTACTTCGACGGAATCAGCATCGGTGTCAGTCAGGTCGGCTAGAACCTCTCTTGCGCGATCGACTCGGCCTTTCTTGGTCAGCCAGCGAGGTGACTCCGGGAGCAGTGGCGTAGTAAGCATGATGATGATAGAGAGTACACCGGATAGGGCCATGGGGAACCGGAAAGTGACAGAGCCGTGATGGAAGGACATGCCCAGATTCGTCCAGCCTCCAATAGCCAAGCCGAAGGAGATGAACAAGCCTTCCAACATCACTGCCGCACCTCTGTGAGCAGCACCAGAACACTCTGCTTGCCAGTTCGGAGCTGTGGCTGTAATGTGTCCAAAGCCATATCCGGAGACCAGTCGACCGACTATGAGTTGTGGCAGGGAGTACGAGGAGGCTTGGAGAGCTGCACCAATCGTGTTGATCAAGGCGCCGAACATGATCGTTCTCTTTCGGCCGAGCTTGTCGCCTAGCCCGATGCAGCTGAGGCAGCCGAAGAGACAGCCTAGGGTGTACATCGCCACGACGGTTCCCTATTTAAGACTACAATCAGTAATATGTTCGCGACTGGTGGAAGCTTATGAGCATACTTGAAGGGTTGAGTGGTGGTCTTTGGTCGCTCCTTTGGTATGTACGGTATCGAGGGCAGGAAAGGTTTCTACCCAAGACGGGAGACTGAGGAGCCCTCCGGCGATAGAGTTGTTGTAGCCGAACCTATTGTACAAGCAGAAACTGTCAGCTGTTATCATACTCTTGCGACCCTGCTCCTGTGCATCAATGAGTATTGCTGACTTACAAGAGATAACATGGCAAAATGACAGCCCAGATCTGAGCCATCTGGAGTTTCCTCCCTCGAAGTCCAAAGAAACCCATCTTTCTTCTGGATGACAAATGCCAGTAAGTATAGTTGATTTGAGAATCAGGAGCTGAAGTATGACGATAAAGTAGAGTGCGGAGAGATGCTTGTCAGAATCTGGGGATCTGGGGAAATGGATCGCCTTTTATCTTAAGCAATGTTTCGATACAATCTCTCGTAGACTAATCGTAACTTGGGGCTTCTGCACTGACTCTAGTGCCATAACGCATCGGTTGTCGTGTTAGTCAGTCGGTTCAACCGATGGAGATTGTTACGGCTCCATCGGCCTCCGAAGGATCGGCTGAGCCGACGGAAGAGCCGATGACGTCGGAACAGCCACCACCACCATTATTAAGTCCATATAAACATTCGACACTCTAGCCTGCCAGTTCACATTTCTACCATGCAATCCTACTTCTTATTTAAATCCTCTAGGCAAAAACATCATCTGTATTGTCGCGATGGCTACTCGACGGCTCGCCACATGGGCGCACAACCTCCAATACTCGGACCTTCCAGAAGATGTAGTCCGCGCAGCTATTCGAAGCTTCTACAATTGGGTTGGCTGCACTATAGCAGGGAGTCAGCATGAAGCTACAAAGATCGCTGTAAGCTCAAAAGCCCCCAACCAGCTCAATGGTGTGATTTAGGTAGCTGATATGTGCTTTATTGCTGGCAGCATCGAACATTATCTCCCTTCTTCGGCGCACCTTCAGCGTCGCTACTCGGACACCATGGAGATTCACGCTTAGATGCTCAGCACGCGGCGTTGATTAATGGTATAGCATCACACGTCCATGATTATGACGACACGCACCTCGACACCATTATTCATCCGACAGGACCTGTTGCGAGTGCTCTGCTTGCTGCCGCTGAGTGGAGAGGTGGTATCTCAGGGAAGCAGTTCATCGTAGCTCTCGTGGCTGGTATAGAAGCTGAGTGCAAAGCTGGGCTCGCTGTCTGGCCAGAACATTACGATGTTGGCTGGTAAGTATATGCATCCGTATGGCTATTACATCAACTTACAACCCTCAAGGCATATTACCTCCTCCGTCGGTTCAATTGGAGCAGCAGTTGCGGTCTCAAAGGTCCTAAGGCTATCTCCAACAAAGACCACCCATGCAATTGGTCTCGCAGCAACTCAAGTCACAGGTCTCCGAGAAATGTTTGGTTCACATTGCAAATCATTCCACATCGGCCGTGCAGCTCAGAATGGCCTACTGGCTGCTGTCATGGCTGAAGGAGGCTACACTAGCAGTGAGGGCGCATTGGAAACGAAACGTGGCTGGGCTGCAGTCGTGGGAACCAACAAGCCACACGTGCTCCAGAACTTGGATCGTTGGCTCGGAACTGAGAATGAGGATGGCTTAGCTGCTACAGGCACCGGCCGCTGGGAGATTCTGAGGAATAGCTTCAAGCCATTCCCGTGCGGGATTGTTATCCATCCAGTCATCGACGCTTGTATACAATTACACGCGGAACTGACGAGAGAGGGACATGACCCAGCGCAGATCAAGTCCGTCACGGCACAAGTCCACCCTCTTGTCCTGGAACTCACCGGGAAGAAGACTCCAAAGGATGGTTTAGAGGCCAAGTTCAGCGTCTATCACAGTGGCGCCTGTGGCCTCCTTCTCGGCAGAGCCACACCATCAGAGTATGAAGATGATGTTGTACTCGATCCTGCCGTCATTGCTATTCGCGACCGCATCACAGCAAATATCGATACAGGCGTCGCAGCAGACGCGGCAAAGGTTACTTTTGTACTTGAAAACGGAGAGTCATTCACAAAGTACGTTGAGCATGCGATTGGCAGTCGCGTGAATCCTCTGGGCGACGAGAAGCTGCGTGAGAAGTTTATAGATGGATGCAAGAGCGTTTTGACTCGCGACATTGAAGCAGTGAGCCAACGGTGCTGGGGATTGGAGCATTTGGATGATATGCGGGAGCTCATAGAGTATCTGTAGCTGCTGGAGACGTATTTATGGCGGTAGGACCTTTTTCACCAATCCTTAACAGAGCACCAGCCCGTGTTCTCCACCGCTCAGTGAAGATGTCGATGTGCCGTCCGAGCGCAATATTTTCGGTAGATAATTGAGTTTCGGCATGTTCATTTCGCAGATCATGCATTATGCAGGGGTGATCTTGTAATTAATTCCCAGCCCTGGCATTCGGTATATAATGTCGGTGACGCACGTGTAAAGTTTGGCTTTCCGGACTTTCCGTGAGAGTTATGCGCTCAACATATATAATTCCGGCCTCTTCTACGAGACCACTTTTGAAGTGTTATAAATGCATCCCTCATCTGCACTATACAATTTTCCAGCGCCGCTAATCAAAGTAGCTCAGCATGAGGTATAATATATTTAACTCGTTGGTTGCGTCCTTGGCCCTAACAGCATCTGCTTCCAAGCACGCAACTTCAAAATGCCGTCAAGTTTCTGGAGATATCTTGTTCAACGACCAATTCCAACTCTATCCATCGTTCTTTCGGTGGGATGATCAGCGCTGCGTTCTATATCTCAGGTATGTTGCCCCATCACGCCCCGCTCAGCCCCAAGTCAATCTAACCTTTTTATGCAGCTCAATCTACAATGCGAGTATCGCCGTCTGGGACCCTTACAGCTCCTCACTCCAGCGAATTATTTCTATCCCTGGAATAACCCACAGCCTAGACAAAAGACTCTCTGGGACTATTATCGACCCCACAAACAACGTCCTGTCTGCTGTCGTAGAGGCCGCTTCATTCTTTACAAGTGCGGGAAACGATGTGAGCGGTGATAACTTTGTCGTCAAGGTCGATCTGAACACTTTTGAGACAAAGAATATTAACCTGACGGCCGTCACTAAGGGCCAGTACGGGGCGTTTCTTGACATCGATAATGGCCTTGATGGAGATCTTTATGTCAACGGTGCTTATCCATCCAGTATCCTTCACGTTGACTGCAAGGATAAACTCTCCCCTTTCTACGTCCGCGAACCAACTACTCCTCCGCGTTCTTTTGGCTTTGGAGGCGTGGTTCGCGTAGGTCACGATCTCATAGTCAGCGACAATACCAACCACCAGCTCGCCAAATTCGATATTCACAGTGCCCATCACTCACCCATCGTCATCCCACAGACGAACTATCACAATTTCTCCGGTGGAAGTTCCCTCAGCCTACCTGATCGGTACGGCGGAAAGGTTATGTTGATGGCAGAAGATGTCATTGATAAGAACACATGTGGGGTCTCTGTGTTTAGCTCAAAGGATAGCTGGAAAACAGCGAAGTTTGTGGGCTTTATTGAGAGTGTTGACAGGAAGTTGTACCCTGCTTCTGTGGCTCTGAGTCAAACCTCTGCGCATGAGCTTGGCGAGCGGATTTACTCGAGCGTCTTGTTCTACGATAATAAGGTTAACCCGACGATGGCGGGCAACCGGAGTGACTTTGCGTTGCGGGATATCACGGATTCGGTTGACTCCCTGCTAAAGGCAAATGGGTTCCATATATAGCGGTGTAGCCATCCTGAGTAGTCGGTACATCTTGAATGCCATAGCATTACTCTTCCGTTTACATCCCCACTGGCGAGCATCGATTGGAGTGAGATACCTTGGTCCTACTCGGTTGCAAGGGTTATCTCTAAATACGAAAACCTTGTCGGCTTGCACGGCCCGCTAAGAGCCGAAGCAGCACCTCAACCCTGTTGTTCAGCCAAGGCCAGCTATTCCAGGCTTCATAGCGTTGTTCCATGTAAATGTTATGTTCTTCCGGTGACCTCGTAATCGTCAGGTGCCTTGTATTAAGCTGATTTCTGCGTGTAAATAATCGTTGGTAAATGCTCATACTTATCGGAGAGTCGGAGACCACTGATGCTAGATTTTTCTGTTGTGGAGTCCAGCATCATGTAGTAGTTGACTGTAATCCGGTACTTGAGGAAGATCAGTTACCAGTTGGTCTGAATATGTGTCTATTGACTTCAGCTATTATATATGTCCCGTTTAAGGGTTCTGCTAGCTACCTGGGTTTTACTAAGCAAAATATATCCTAAACTTGAAACAAGTGAATGGGCATTTCAACCCATTTTTGACTTCAGAGAGACATCCGAGAATATCTACCTGATCTCTGCACGACAGGATTTGCGGAACGTCAGTGGGTCAACGTAAGTTGTCCGCGGAGCTTCGAAACTTACATGGAGTAATGGGCCCACAAACCACATAATCACAGTAAGAAATAGTTCATCGCCGTCATATTATGAGAAAAGCTGATAACTCAATGATGTGGATCTTCCTTGTAGAAATGGGTATATAATTCACAACAGTCACTGCTCGCATCATCTCTTGAACGCATTCTCATATCTATCCATTTGCATCCACAAGCTTCAAAGTCCTTCTACATCTCTTCAGTTCATACCAAAAATGCGCTTCAGCTCTCTCATCATTGCCGTTGCTACGGCATCTCTAGCCTCCATTGCTTCAGCGTGACAGGCAGATGGAACGATCGGGAGCTCACTTCCGGCTCCTAACCTGAATTGCTGCAGTGGCTGTGCTTGGAACAGCTACATAAGGAATAATGTGAGTTGGCCAGGAGCTAGTAAAGCTTCAGGAAGCCAGTGCTGACACGTTCACTAGGCTGTTATACTACTGTCCTTCGATTTCTGGGGGACCATATCAAATCATTCCTTACCAAAAGAATAATGTTATTACCAGTGACATATGTGAACAGGGCCACTGATTAGTGCTTGTAACTAATAAAACCTCTATTCACAATTCCCTCGGTCGGCGATATCAAGAGATACTGAACGCAAGGCGGGGGGGGGGGTGCCTTTCTATACCCTCCTGGTACAGCCCGTTTCTTAGCACCATGATCACCTCTCCTTGATGACTGTTGCCCTGGACCGGTGCCTTATTAAGAAACCCCTCTTTCCTCTAGCACGCAATAAATGTCTAAATAGATGCTTATTCCGCTACTGATAAGTAACCGCTACTAGTACACATCGTCTTTTTAGTACCATATACCGGAACTGTATAGTATAAAGTATCGAGGTCCTGAAGTACAGAATAAGCTTAACAACATATAGAGCACCTGTCACGTTAGCATGCTAGCAAGTTATATAATTGGCTCAAATAAGGCAATTAGGTTCTTATCTATACAAACTACCCGAGGGGGTTTGCTCCAAGTCTTTCCCAAAAGGGATACGTAACATATCACATCCCCCACAACTATCAAAAGCACGTAATAGCGAGAAATCTTCACGCCTTCTCTGATGTTCACCACATCCTGAGATAACGAGCTTCAGTGGGATTATGATAAATCTTGCATGTTCTAAATCTCTACCTTGGATGAAATTATAAATATAGCCGCTATAGTCGTACCAATGTAAAAGAAGCCGGCATCTCCCTTGACTCACAAGCTAGACTATTACTCAAACCTTTATTTTCGCCTCACTGTCTGCTCTACTATTGTTTCGTTATGGCCACTGTTTTAGTCAGGGACCAGAAGTACCTCGATGTATCCGAGTCTGAGATCCATGTTGACTCGGTGCCACCACTTGGAGCGCCTGTAACTGAGAAGACTCATCTGTTCCAACGGGGCAAGGGTTTTGATGCAGATGCAATCGCTACCCAAGTAAGTGACCTTGGATCTGCTACATTACTAGTACTTGCCTCTAACACCATTGGTGCAGGCCAGTGTTTTTGATGATCCTAAAACTGCCGAGCAATATCAGCCGCGATCAGACTGGTAGGGTCATCCATCTATCTATAGACCTTGGGTAAGTCTTACTAATAGCTTTGATCAGGGAAAACATCAGTCGCTTTGATCCCCTTGCACGATGGACCTGGGGGGAAGAAAAGCAATTGGTCCGCAAAGTCGACATCAAAATTATGATCTGGGCATGTACCATGTTCATGGCCCTGGAGTTGGACAGAGCCAACATTTCCCAAGCCTTGACGGACAACCTCCTAGGCGACTTGGGCTTGACTACCAATGGTACGGTCGACCCGCTTACACATATTGTATTCAGTGACTGATTGTGATGCTACAGACTTTAACCTCGGAAACACCGTATTCAAGCTCTCGTTCCTCTGCGCCGAGCTGCCATCGCAGCTTGTCTCTAAATGGATGGGTCCTGATCGTTGGATCCCGACCCAAATGTGCCTCTGGAGTATTGTTGCGGCAGCGCAGGTCTGGCTATCAGGCCGCGAATCATTTCTCGCCTGTCGTGCACTTCTTGGAATTCTACAAGGTGGCTTTATCCCTGATGTAAGTCGAGTCTGGTTGGGTCATTCACTGCCGGTTCATCACCCATGCTGACTGATCTCATCAAGGTGATTCTGTACCTCTCATACTTTTACAAGCACCACGAGCTTTCAATTCGTCTAGGGTTCTTTTAGACCATGATGAGCGTCGCCGACATCATCTCGGCGCTTCTTGCGGCTGCCTTGTTGGAGATGCGAGGTATCAACGGTCACGCTGGTTGGCGATGGCTGTTCCTCATTGAGGGCCTCATCACTCTGATCTTCGGCCTCCTCGCCTATGGTCTCATGCCCCCGGGCCCAATCCAAACTGCCAATTGGTTCCGTGGAAGGACAGGCTGGTTCACTGAGAGAGAAGAAGTCATCATGGTCAACCGCATCATCCGCGAAGATCCCACCAAGAGCACAATGCACAACCGACAGCCCATTACATTCAAACTGTTGTTCCAGAGTCTTAGTGACTACGACCTTTGGCCATTATATCTGCTTGGATTGACCTTCCAGATCCCTGCCACTCCAGAGGGGCAGTACCTGACTCTGTCGCTCAAGGGCCTCGGCTTCAACACGCTCCAGTCCAATCTCTTGAGCATTCCATATACTGTATTTCATATCATTACCATGTTGATCCTCACTTATACAGCCGAGTATGCGAAGAACCTGACTCTCATGGGAATAATTGGTCAGATTTGGATCCTGCCTTGTCTTATTTGGTTCAATGTCGCCAATACCCAGACAGCTAGCCGTTGGACTGTCTATGCCGTCACCACTGTGCTGCTGTCCTATCCAAATGGTGAGTAGAGTGGAAGGGAAGATGCAACAACTGTAGCTAACTCTTTCTATTTAGCCCATCCTATCCAGGTAGCTTGGAACTCTCGCAACTCGAATAGCGTACGCTCTCGAACCGTATCGGCCGCCTGTTACAACATGTTTTGCCAGGCTGGCGGTATTATCGCTTCTAACATCTACCGCAAGGATGATGCTCCTAAATACCATCGTGGTAATCGACAGTTGCTTGCTATTCTTATCATGAATCTTGTCCTTTATGTCCTGGTAAAGGTTTACTATATCCTCCGTAATAAGTCACGCGATAAGAAATGGAATGCTATGACTGAGTCGGAGAGGTTGGAATATCTTGACACTACCAAAGATGAAGGCAACAGAAGACTGGATTTTAGATTCGCTCATTAAGATATCGTGGTTTTCTTTCTATGAGAAAGCTTGGTTATCACAATTACTTCTACATCGACTAACTGAAGCTTGTCAATCAAAGGGAGAAGCAGTTAGAGGCATACCAATTGACTATCTATACATAAATGGTGTCCGTTTCTTAAGCTATTAGAGGTGCCTGACTAAAACATGGACAAGTGGTGGTACTGAAAGATCAATGCCATTCTCATTATATTCTGTTCAAAGTCCTCGGACTTACAAAGACCAGTAACAAACAGGCGTATCTGCACGGCGTGAATCTTTTGATTTACAGCATTAACTTCTATCTGTTTTCAATATCTGCGCAGCAAATAGAAGCTAATAGACTAGATGAATCCTACAATTAGGTCCCTACCATGATAAAACTCTCTGCTCAAGCACTACCTTCAACCCGCGATGACAATATAAAGTAATAAATGCCGTAATGTACATATTGGTTAGGTACATTCCACTGTATCGACGCCACTACATGTAAAATGACGCAACTCGATTAACATAACGTTGTTCCTTGTTATCTCTGCTTACTGATAGAGCAGCATGAAAAGAATTAGACTAATCCACTAGCTCTATCGCAGTTCGGGTCACAAGTTTATTGGACAATAGAACGGAGATACCTGGTTAACACCGTTAGTTGGGGTATGAGCTGTTTGATCTCAAGCTGAACGTCATTGTGTACCAATCATGTTCATGCTCTTCGAATCGCGCAATGAACACCCCCATGCCTCGTGCTTTTATTGAATTATTCGGTGATTCCTAGCTTGACTCTTTTGATTCACCTAGACTGATAGATCGCATTCATCCAAATCTAGATAGAATCAGGAATTAATTGAAGAAAACAGCATGACACAAGAGGACGTGTCGCAAAGTCGGTCTTGGACTTTGCATACCTGTAGAGTATATGTATAGAAATGCTTCTGTATTTTGATGATCGTGGCTTAACATACAGCTCTTCCGATGATATCAAATAGTGCCTGCCACATACCAGTGGAAGCCTACACACACACGCTAGACGGTTGCTTGTATCCGATGAGCGTGATTCCCTAGTATTCCTGAGATGGTGTGTAGGAGATATGTCGAGCGAATTGCGCCAGATGAGGTGATGAAGGACATCTCGGCCTGTGATCAGCTTTTTGTGAACAAGCAGCGTGGGCTCTTTAGAGATTTCGAGTTTGCTTTTAAAGAAGGTGTACTGCCGTTCATAGTACAAGTAAACAGAAACCGCACTTGTAGCAACATCTGTCCTAACAAATTGTGACTGCAAGCACCCTTCAGATTCTCTTTCAATATAACATATACAAACTCTTAGTTACTCATCATGTCGCCACCTGCTGCTGACGTTGATACCCCCAGCACTGCTCCAGCAGTCCAGGCTGTACCTAAACCCGTCAAAGGTACCGGGACCAGCAGCGCCTCACGCCTGGATGGTCCCCTGTCCTACAGTGGTAGTCTTGACGCTGAAGAGCAATCTGATGTCACTGCTGTGATCGGCCGAGAGTTCCCTAAACTGCAGCTTAGCGAGATCTTGAAGGATGACAACAAACTCAGAGACTTGGCTGTGCTTGGTATGAATATCTGATCTGGCCGTTAGTGGCTTTTACAAAACAGTGCTTACTATTCTAGTTTCCCAACGCGGCGTCCTTTTCTTCCGGAACCAAGACCTCAACATCGACGATCAGAAATATCTTGGACAGAAGCTTGGAGAGCTGACAGGCAAACCAGAGACATCCAAGGTTTGTCACTTCAGACGCTTTTTCTGCTTATTCAACTGACCATTCAGCTCCATCGACATGCGCTCTCAAACAGTAAGCGTGGTATTGCTGTTGACGAGAATGGAAGACTTGATGATGAAGTATCCGTCATCTCCTCTGAGCAGAACCGCAAGTTCTACAATGAAAAATGGAGCACCCTTTCTAAGAACCTGGCTGGAGAGGGATGGCATGCTGAGTAAGTGTATAAAGAGAAAGTCAAACATGAGCATCTTAATAATGAGTCACAGCATCACTTTTGAGAATATCCCATCCGACTATGCTATTCTCAAAATCATCCAACCTCCGCAGGACGTTGGTGGTGATACACTTTGGGCGTCTGGGTACGAACTTTACGATCGCCTCTCGCCACCGTTTAAGAAGCTGGCCGAGAACTTGACTGCAACTCACCACCAACCCAACTTCGTGCGAGTCAAGGAGACTTTCGGCGAAGATCTCATTGACGACTACCGTGGTGCTCCAGAGAACACTGGGTTGGATTTCAAGGCTGAGCAGTAAGCATCCCATGTCAGCTCTGATGCATTGGCGCTTGGAAAAACTAATCGATCAGCCCTGTTGTGCGTACAAACCCTGTGACTGGTTGGAAGAGTCTTTTCGCCGTGGGCCACCAGCTTTCAGCTGGACACATTAACGGTGTATCTGATACCGAAAGCGAGATTCTCAAGACTTACTGTAAGAACAATAACGTCCTATAATGAGTTCGCAATACTAACTGCTCCAAGTTCGCCAACTTATCACCGAGAATCACGACCTTCAAGTACGGTTTCGCTGGGGAAAGAACGATCTCGCCATCTGGGATAAGTGAGTTACATAGCCGGCCTAGTTCCCTGTCATTTGTCCAAAAACTAACTATAAACTTTCTACAGCCGCTCTGTGTTCCACACCGCTACCAAGTACGTATACTGTAACTATGTAGCTTCTGAGCTTAACATGCTGATTAATGATTCTAGTGACTACGTTGGAAAGCGTCAAGGAAACAGGGTTGTCTCGTTGGGGGAGAAGCCGTTCTATGACCCTGCTTCCCAGTCACGCAGAGAGGCTCTTGGACTTGTGCAGTAAGATGTCAGGAGCAATCTATAGGATATTCTTATTTATATATATATCTGGCCTTATAGTGAAGAGTAAATAATAATGACTTTACTTATTTCCTATTACTAGTCGTCAGAGACCTCTGCGGTTATCTTTAAGCGTGACGTTGACCTATCTGGGATTTCGTTAGACTCGGCGTTGGCCGGTTTATCTTTGCTCTCGGTTGAAACCTTAACATCAAATAGAGGAGGCATAGCAATAGTTTCTTCCATTGCACTTCAGGCTCAATGGACCACCGAGTATCAAAATCTCCACAGCTTATCCGCGACCTTCTCAAGAACCTTTACCCAACATGCGGCAGCGTCGGCGAATTTGCAATACAGGCTCAGTCTTCCAGCAAGACCTATGATAACAGTGTGTGACCCCTGTATGGTGCTATATTCCTCTCATAGAGAGCCAAGATCCTTCATAATTCCTCCAAAGGTCAGATTAGGGCCACAGAGACCCACCGAAGGTCTGTGGTGACTGCGGGGAAGCTCAGTCCAAGCTGTAATCCAATGGGGACTCCAGAAGCTTAGGTAGCTGGTCGAATTGACGGATAACAGAAATCTCTCTTTCAAACAACACTTTGGAGGAGCTGTTGGAAGAGGGGGAGTACAAGATAGGCATGATTTTTGCATCGAGAGCACCCTTGACATCTGCCTCGACAGAATCGCCAACCATGTACATGTTCTTCGTATTTACCCCCAGCTCTTGCATGGCATAATGGAAGATCTTGACATCGGGTTTAGGATAGCCGGCTTCTTCTGATGTGATGACACGCTCAACGAGATCAAAGACACCAATGTCTTTGGCCTTTTCTATCTGGCTTTCGGTCGGGCCATTTGTGATAATAGCAGTGCGATAGCCCTTATGGCGAACGTCTTCCAGCGTCTCAATGCTTCCAGGCATCGCGGTTCGATTCATTCTGTAGCCCTCTTTGTACACACTCCGAAAAAGCACAACACCATCATTGTCCAGTTTTGGAAGGCCTAGAAGCCTGAAGAAAAGGTTGACCTTCTCTGCGTCTTGCCGTTCGTACGCTATCTCATTTCGGAGATATTTGTCGTAAACAATATTGAGGGCTCTGTTGTACTTCTCGACAAGCACGTCAACGGGGATTTCGCGAAGAAGGGGGAATTTAATTCGTACGAGGGCCAGAGCGTAGTTGAGAGACTTTTCGTGATCGAACAATGTGTTGTCGAGATCGAAGAAAATCATCGTCAGACGAGGCTCGGACACATATTCGAGGAGGGTATCGAAGGATGGAATACCGAACGGGGGTGGAAGCGACATTACGGCGGGTGCTGCGACTTTCCTATAGATGCTGAGTCTGCTGAAGCAGAGATCAAAGAAATGGCTGGAAGATGAAAAGAGAAAATCGCAAGAGGCTGAGGTTGAACTTAAGTACTTATCTTATCAAATGAGTATTAAGGTTGTGCTCAGAGCAACTTTGATGGATGTCGGTGGTATTTACAACTAAGCCTCGTAGCTGAGAGCTTAAATCAGCACACAGAACTTTGATCTCCCTCGCACCTCGGCCAGGCGTCTTCATTTACGCCAAATCATGCCATATTGTGCCCTCCCGGTCTTTCAGCGAGCTCCACAACTGTAGGTTCATTGCCCGTGCTCCATCTCCGCCGGACCCCGATACCGTGAACGTCGCCAGAATCTCGTGCACCCTCTCTGGCTCACACACCCTAGAGCAAATATCTGCTCTCTCAAGATTCCACGATTCCATTTCCTTATCGGTGAGAGATGGCACTGATTACTGAACTATTACTATGAGGATGACTGCCGCTTGTAAGGTTAAGCTTTAGGGTATGAATACAGGTGATGTATGAGAACACAATATTTCCTCTCTGATATAAACTCTTAACCAGAAGCTTTCACGATGACCAATAAATCTTATTAAAAGCCATTGGGCATTGCGAGGCCGCCTTCATTGTTGCTGGCAGCGGCTAAAATAATGAGCTTCGGATGAAGGAGGCCGTACCTCCTATCCCTTATGGCATCTTCAGTGGCGACTCTCAGGGTCGCCGGTTCCGTGATGTAACTGAATGGCATGAAGACTATTCAACCATCAACACAGCTGAAGCGTGGTGTATGTCCTGATAGATCCTCTGTCAGCACTGCACCCTCACAGAGGGTTGGCTTGACTCACCCGTCTGATGCTATCCAGAATCCCATCATATGCCTGACGGTTCACCATGTGTCTCCTATCGGCGGCGATGTGGGCAATATACATGTTAGCCCGCAGAAGCAACATTAGAAGAAGGGTGGCAATGTTTGTGCCATGCGTCACTCTTATCCCAAAATTGCGAGCTTCTACACCATCTTCGTCAACCCTGTCCGTACTCGTTGGAGAGACGAAATTGGATCCACGACATTGCGTAGGAGCCTACTCCACCAGACCCGCGTAGGTTTTGCCTGAATCGCCTGCGAAAAGATTGACATCCAAGCGATTCACAATTGCCTGTAGCACCTGTCTGTTACTTTCAAACTGCGAACGGACATATACTACTTATTGAGTTTGTCGTACGTATCCCTCTGACAAAACGTCCCTCCACGGCTTCCTCCACAGCTTTCTCTGACTGCGTTCTTATGGTTGGAATTTATGAGTATGTATATTGACCAATTAAGCTATAGGAAACTTTTATCTTGTCTTAATCTGAATACTCCCTACATTATGTCAATCATTATCCTGCCGAGTATACTGGAATTACTTACTTCTTGAGCATAACTTGCAAGCAAGGTCCCATCTTTCGCAAATACCTTTGCACTAGCTAAACATCTTTCTTCACCTGCCCAAGGGCAGTTAACCTCGACTAACATCCATTCGTCGGCTCGTATGCTTGATGGTGAGTGAAAGTAGATAGAATGGTTGAGGGTCGACAACATTCCAACTGCTGTCCCTGCTAAAACCGATGATTTAACGCTTTCCGCGATCGATTGCGGAAATCTGAAGTAACCGTGGGCATATGGGGCTATAGTTATTGCAAGCCAATCAGATAGGAAAGTCAGAACGGCTTGATGTACCGTAGTGTCATCAGCATGGAGGATTTCCTCTCGTGCACGGGTCCAACACCGCATTACTCTATCCTGTGGCGCAACGCTATCATCTCCCAAGCTGATGGCTGACACATCCGGAGCAATCGCGTCGACGCTCTGTTCTTGATCAATATGCCGTTCTTCTGCCGGTGGGTTTCCAACCGGTGCCATTACTGAGGCATGGTGAATGTGCTGAGGCTTTTTAGAAGGTGTTCGGGCGAATGATACCACAGCAAGATGGATGCATTTTCCTTCTTGGATTGCGTGGACAGTTCTTGTAGCATACGATCGTCCTTCTCGAACTCTCGCGACTGAATAAGTGACGGGGGATTTATCGTTTCCAAGGACAAAGAATTGGCTCTGCAGGGAATGACAGACAAAGTCTTCACCGACGGTCTGTTTTGCTGCTACCAAGCTTTGCGACATGATCAGTCTGCATAGCCACTATTAACTCTCGAATGATTTGAGCGTCGGGGATTGTAAAAGAATGCCTACCCTCCATAAAGCCCTCTTCCTCCAGGAGGATGCCAAAGGCCACTGGTCGTTTTGAGAACATCCTAGTGGAAACACACATTTAGCAGTCTATTTCACATTCAATGAGTCTAAGAGGAGAATTGAATTTGACAACTTACTTTTTCGATCCTCTCCAGTTGAAATAAATCTTCCAGTTTCGACAGTCCGGGCGGACGGATCGCGTCTGATTGACCTACCATTCTTGACAAGGATGCTCTTCGTGAGCGAGTGCGTCAAACGAGTGGGAAGCTCCGGTTGGTAGGACAGGACAGAACAAATCAGCTTTGCTTAAGATCTTATTTAAGCAGATGAGTAAACTACTACGCGTCGCAGCCACGGGCCGTTCGGTGTACTGATTCTGGGAGGACAGACTTATTTTGGACTATTTACCCCGAGACCAACCTCTTTTTCCCCATAAGGAAATCAGAAATTGCCGCGGCTAGGGTGGAGATCCGTGGTTGTCCACGCGGGCAGCATTGGCGCCTTTCAACCCCGCATTCCCCTCCACTTCTAACTGTGTTCACTGTTGAGAGAACTCGGTGATATTATGCCTTCCACGACATCTACGTCGCTTAGAGATAATGCAATAGATTGTAAGTAATAACCCCAAGGTCCCTCTCTCTGTCATTCGCCCTCCCTGGAAACCTTGTAGCCCTTATTGTCTATGAGAGTCTTCCTGCATGCAGTCATCGTGATGAAAAGTATTTTACGTTCGAAGACAGCCGATTTCTCTTGAAAGGACGCACTTTAGACCTCTTGCGCTCTGTTATCTTTATGGGAATTCAAGAGGTAACTCCATCAATCTTCCCGCGATGCTCTTGTGGTGGCGGTATATTCACGAAAGCTGCTTAGCTCCTGATACCAGCAATAGATGCACCAACTTCCTTATGTTTTACGAGCCGACGCCCTGCCCAAACACAACTTCACTGCGATTCTCGGACGCATCTGCCCCAAGACTGACGATAATACCACGCCTTGCCTCGCATGCCACACCCCGGACACCGTTGACTTCCAGGTGTTTGTCAAGTTCCCGTATTGAGGCTGTTCTAGTTCACCACGGACCGGCCCTTTCTGGAAGCTAAATTCTGTGTGCTGGCGACAATTGATTGTGACTAGCTGAAAAGTGAGGGGTAGTTGAAACAGTCTACACCGGGCTGGCTGAGCGGAACTTATCATATTATTCCTATTGGTCTGCTGGAAAGATGGCGACGTCTAGACCAGACTATTGATCTGCCCGTATTCACTAGCGCTGGGAGCCAAGATTCTATAGAGGCAAACTCTCGCAGAAGCAGCAGCTGCATAGTGTTGTTCGTATGGACAGATGCTAAGACATTGATTGTGATATATGCAATGGAATGTGATGTATGCGACAGTCTCGGTGTAGCTCATGAAGCGGTTAGCGTTGGTCATGCCTGCACAGTGCTACTCAACATTCCCAATCATCTATAAAAGCCCATCTTTGAGTCTTCTCGAATCCAAGGAGCCAGACAAAGAAACTCGTAAATTTTACCTTTCAATCCGCAGTATCATTACAAGCACATCGTCTCGTACTACAGCTAGACATAATGTCCACTCAAAGACCTGGACTGCCCCAACCGACGGAAGAGGAGAAAGAGAGGCAGAGACGTCTCCTCGAGCTTTGCCTGCAACAAGTGGGATTCTTCAGGGGAAAGAAGATCCCGATCTACACTGCTGGAGAGCTTGAGTACGAGAAATCTGTCGCAAACGCGAACCTTCTCTACCGCTTTGAAAGACCAGGTTGTGTCATCCAACCTGAGCATGAATCCCATATTCGCATCGTCGTTGACCGAGCCAAGAAGGTACACTTGCCCATTCGAATCAAGAATGGAGGCCACTCATTCGCCGGGTTCTCTGCTATCAATAATGGCATCTCGATTGATCTGGTCAATATGAAACGCGTCGACCTCGACAAGGATAAGATGACCGTCACTATGGATGCAGGTGCCCTTTGGGCTCATGCTTATCACGAATTGATCAACGACCATCATGATAAACTGGTTATCAATGGAGGACGTTGTCCAAGCGTCGGGGTCAGTGGTTTCACTCTGGGTGGAGGCCTCGCGCCCTTTACTCGAAGCTTCGGTTTGGGAAGTGACACGCTTCTTGAGGCTCGCATTGTCACCGCAGACCATGGAGTGGTCCAAGTCAGCCACGATGACAGTGATGAGGAAAAGAAGAAGCTCTTTTGGGCCCTTTGTGGCGCTGGCGGCAATAACTTCGGGGTGGTCACCCAGCTCAAGATGAAGGTTCAAGAACTGCACCACGATGTTGTGGTTGCTGGGGTTTATAACTGGGCGCCATCTCATGATCCCAAGTCCCAGGTCGCTTTTACTGAAGCGATGGTGAAATTCTATAATGCTGGGTGGACCAACAACATGACGATTGACACCAGCTGGTTGATGGACCTCAAGGATACCCGCGAAGACCCGTCTGTTCGATTTCTGGTATACTATAATGGACTAGAGACTGAATTTGACAAAGAAGTCGATGAGCGTCTCGGAGATTGCGGCAAGGTCGAAGACACGGACAAGTCACTTGCAAAGCAGCTCAAGGATCGAACTTTGCCGGAGAATTCCACTCTATTCCTTCACGAGACTCTTGTAGCTCAGTGGTCAGAGGAAACTCAGAAAGCCTTGCCTTCGAACGCCTTGTTCAGGATCTACACTTCCTTTTCTTTCACAAAGGCCAGTGTCAGAAAGAATATTTCTGACATAATTGAGACTCTACAAAAGGGATTGGTGGCTTTCAAGAATGAGTTCAAAGGCGAAGAAGGCTCAATCAAAGTGTCTTGGATTCATTCTGGTGGGAAAGCCAATGAAACTAAACCCGTTGACTCCGCCTATCCTTGGCGTGAATGTGACTATCACACATACATCATGATTGAGTGGAAGGATAAGTGGTTGGAGACCAGGATGAAAGAAATCCTCACGGGCTTTAATGAGGCTCTGAGAAAGTATTCTGTGGACGGGCTTGGTGTGTATATCAACTTCCCAGATGCGACACTCGACGAGAACACATACGAGAAGGCATACTATGGTGTCAATCGAGACAAACTGCAGAGCGTCAAGGCATACTGGGATAAGGACAATATCTTCCAATGGCCTCATGGAGTTCAAGTTGGACCCCACGTTGACTCTAAGGGCGCTGCAATGGAATTTGCAGCTCCGCCTCCACCTCCCAGCAATAACCCTATTGTCGAGGGGTTTGCCAACCCAAGGGAAGCTACGGGCGTGGCTGCAATCTTTTCTTGGGATACCTTCAACCCGACTAGTGGCAGCCCTATAGTTAGCCTAGGTAACTGAGCTAGTTAGAACTGTTGTAAACACTTGAACTTGGAGCTCGCAATTTATCCGTTCGGTTAAACAATACAATTCTGCTTTAACTTGATGGCTTAAGACGGCTCCAGAGCCCCTTTAACCTGCTTCGCAAAACGACTGTCACTAAAGTGCTTATCCAAACTCAAGCGACCCGACTCATGCAAAGATAGCACGTCCTTCTCTTTGAACGCCTTCCAGATTGTGTTCGTATCTGTCGGGCTCGTGAAAAGAATCTTGACATGCGTCTTGACCCTTGGGTCGCCTGTCAACTGCAGTATCTCAAACAGTACCTTCTCCACAAACATGTTTTGCATCATGTCTTCATCTTCATACACATTGATGCTGTCGATCACACAAAAGAGTGTTGTATCACTGCGTAATCGACGGACAAGAACAGTAAATAGCTGACAGAGTTCCTCGACATCCTCCACATCTCTTTTCAAAAGAGGCAAATTCACTTCTTGGGCTACTTTGTCAAGATCTGCGTCGTCAAAGTTATGCTGATGAAGAAGTTGTGTGGTGAGACTCTTGATGATCCCGATGCCGCCAATCAATGGATCATCGAGGTCCGTATGCTGTCCGCAAAAGAACGCAACAGCACAGAAACGATCGACCTGGCGCAGGTTTCGCACAACAGATGCACTGAATAACGATAAAGGCGTTACGCTTGTTCGACTTGGCTTCATGTGTCCGTGAACAAGCAGTTCAGTAGAGCTCGCTCTGACGACCCATTGTTTGAACTGTGCGTTCTCCACCAGATGCTCAGCCCTCCCTTGGTCACGGCGGTTCACGAGCGCGGCTGACTCCGATATCTCAGTGATATCTACTCTATCAACGGCACAGAGATCAAAATCAACGTTCATGTTGAGAATTCGAACAAGCTGATCTTGTGGTATACGTGCTGGACCAACCCAAGGTCTTCGGTCTCGACTGCGTGATCGTTCTGCTTCGAGTTGAGTATGGAGACGTGTGTACTTGACCGCAAGCCTCGCATTTTGTCTCTTTTGTTCTACAACGTATGTCAGTGAAGTTTCGCCAGGAGATCCTGGGATTAACACGAACCGTTCAAAGCAGTCAGGTTGGTGAGGTATTCCTGCGATAGCCGCATAAATGCGTTCATTGCATCAGAAGCAGTTGTAGCGTTGAGTCTGTTGGCGGCAGCGTTTTGTTCATTCGCAGTAGCATTCCTTTCGTTGGCCGAAACGAGTCTTTGTTGTTCAGCTGCCATTTTTCGACCGGATTTGTTCATTTCTGACTGGGCGTCTGAGAGTCTTTTTTGTTCCTTGGTGATCTTCATCTGACCTATTTGGAGCTGTTTCAACCTGTCAATCCCTTGCATGGTGTCAGCCATGTAGATTCACATCGATATTCATGGGTAGTTCACCTTCTGATGCCTTGATATTCACTGCTCGAAGCTCACGGAAACTCCCGATATTGGCCTTCTCCATCAGTCTGGAACTGCTGGAATTGAGGTCCTCAAGGCAGCCCGTCAGATCAGCCTTGTAGCTGTCAGCTTGCCACATCGACAGAAGCATCTTCTTCCCTGTGAATGGATTAGTAGCTGGTAGGTGGAGTATGCGAATGAGAAGCACCTTTCTTCGCCCAGTAGTAATCGATGATATCTTCGATCGCCTGGAGCATTGAGCTCAGGACTTTCTGGGCGGCAACGACGACATCCTCTTCCTTCTCATATACTGCAACAATGCTCTCAACATCCTCCAACTTCTCTCGGAACTGTCGAAGACTTGTCTCGATCTCTTCTCGAATCTTGGCGGTCCTCTTAGCAGCCTGTCTTGGGTTAGCCACTTAGGGATATCGGGAGACACAGGACTTCTGAGCTTACGTCAAACACAATGTCAAACACACAGTGGATTACTGAAGAGTATTCCGTATTTGGCAGAAGAGAGAGCAGTGTCTTGCCTTCGTCAACGTTGTCTGCCACTTTATGCGCTGACCGTTTCCAGAACCCGATAAACCCTGAGTAGTCGTAGTAATTTGCTCTTGCTCTTTCAAGGACATTTACGATGTCAACCCATCCTTTCAAGGCGCGGATACTGCGTGTTGTCCCGACAAGTCTCTTTGGTTCAACGCGAATGGACTTGAGCTCTTCCATCGCTTCAGGGAGCATCTCTTCCCAGAAAGGTCGTCGATCGGAATGCTTAGTGGTAGTATCAGGGAGTATATCTGGAAGTTCATGCTCTCCGGGTGGCTCAATGCCGGTGCCGGCATCTTGATTGTGCGTCATCGGCTCAAAGCGTCCACGAGCTGTGTTAAATCGTACGTCAGGATTGGAAAACGCCTCATGAAACTCAAACAGACGCTCTTGAATGAATTCAAGGCACGGTTGTCGTCGAATGGTCCCTCTTGACGTATCCCGTCTATCTGTCATGGGATAAACGATGGCAAACAATTCCGAATCCAAGAGAGAGAGTAACGAGGATACTGGAGCATTATCAACTTAGGCCCGTTGTATCATCATAGCCTGATTGTTGACATGCTGTCCAATAGACGTCTAAGAAATACAAAGAATGAATCCACTTCGAAGGTATAATATACTGGCAAGCTTAAATACACATTGTCATAGCACAAGTAATCGGGTAAGACTTCACTCACAAGCGAGTATGACGATAAGAATTACCCCGCTCGCTATATTGATGTTATTCTTGCTTCGTATGACACTGCTCATTTAAGAAGGTGGTCAGCAAATACAAGTAATTCCTTTTCAGCTCCGGTGGCTCTATATGCAGTCACCAGTATCAAGCCCAATCAGTACGTTCTTTTCAGCCCAGGGTCAAATGCAGGTAAGCGCCCAACAGACTTGAACCATTGTAGAGTTAATCACGAGTTAGTATCTTTATTTTCTGGATTATACTGAATGCTGGGTCTTTTGGAACTTGTTTCGACTCATGCTAAGATCGGGACTTGATGAAGAGACGGCTCTAGAAGGGACCGTGTTACGGTTGTTGTTATTTACGGTGGAAATTCAAACGAGCACCACTTGATCGTGTTGTTATGTTGCAAAAAGGTTGCATTGTGATGTGGCGTCTCTTGCATGCATGTTTCTGCCTGGTCTGACCCTCCCAGACAGGGAGGGGGCCGCACACATTTTACCCCTCCTTCACGACGAGTTTGAAATCAGGCTCTGGTCTGCTGTTGAAACTACGACCTTGAATCCAATCTCTGAGTTATTTAATTCATTTCGACATCACCCAGTTGAAGGGAATCATAGGTGAGATCCCACCTAGTTCTATCTATTCAAAGAACGACCTATTGACTCGAAAACACACTGAAACAGGAACCAGAGATGTCTTGTCCTCCAGCCACAGAATCTTTGGCCGACAGCAACGGAAATATCGCCTCCAGTGCACCCAGTGGAGCAGGTGACCAACCAACATCGTGGTCAAAAGCCACCGCAGAAGTTTGTCAACATTCCGAAGACTCCATTGCAAGTCGGAATCAGATGGATCCTGAGACTGTGACTCCCCAAGATGAGACGAGTGATATGCAAGCCGAGATCAAACGGCTCAAACTCCAGATCCAGGACTTGAAAGAGAGATACCACAAAGAGCAAGAAGGGTTTGAAGATGTATTGGAGAAAGACAATGTGTACCAAGAGTGGAGAACGGGAGAAGTCGAACCACCCGGATATCCATCCACTCGAAGTCAGGTATACTTCGGCGAGAAGGCTGATCATAATATGTCTGTGGGACTAGATCAAGTAGACGCTTTCTACTCAGAACGTGCGCCTCTGACATTTCCTTACACTAGAGAGTATTACGGGGCTCCAGGGTTGAGGAGCATTTCGATTACTCCAATGCTGAACCACGTGCCATGGGCGGAGTTTCAAGGGCCTCTTCAGGTCACCGGCCAATTCAACAAATTTGCGATAGATGTACTGGTTGGGGAGCCTGAAGTCAAGGTTATACTCCCCGGGCTTCGGTATCGCACCAAAGTAGAACCTGTAAGGTTCGGGTTCGAAAACAAGGTTGATACCCCCGAGGCTGCAGCCAATGCTTCTTCCTCGTCGGCGGCAGTTAACCCACGAAAACCCACTGGCAAACCCATGTCTCGCGGTCAGGGACCACTGCCCGAGCGCATCCGTATCAACTCGCCAATAATTCTGAGAATCCTTAGCAAGATCTACCAAGAGGATATATCAACCGGTTTCGATCCAATTTTGATGATGAGACCGTTTAGAAGTCTTGTCTGGTACAAAGACGATATTCGAAAGGAGAGAGATGACCTCGAGGAGTATTTGACCAGGACTCAGAAAGAAGCTGGAAAGGCTCGAAACAACGAGGAAGCAACAGAATTAGAAGTCAAACAGGGAAAGCCCACCGGCGAGGTTGTCGATACTAAAGCTGAGGTTGAATGGTTCGCTGACCAGAAGAAACCAGAAGCTGTTGCGACCAGGCCGGATGGGGAGGACAAAGACAATTCTCCTCAACGCACAGCTGAGAATATCTTCAATACTACTTCATGGACGAAAGATAATATGAAAGAGACAGAGGAGAGACTAATTACTGAGGATGATCTAATAACAGTCAGGAGGCGAGCTAGTCTAGACACCCAGGCTGCCGACGATGATGCTCTCTTACGCACTCAAGAAGAACTAGATCACCTCAACTGTCTCGTTGACTTCATTGACCATGATCTGGAAGACAAGCTAGCTTTTCTCGCTAGCAAAGAATGCACCAAGGTTGTCTGGAGCGATATTTGGCACCTCATTAAACCAGGTGACTTTGTGGTCAGCAAGGACGAGAAGCAGGCATATCGCGTCATCCAAGTGAATTATGCTACGCACATCATGAAGCCTCCCACAGGGAGAAGCCTTTGGATGTCCGAAGCAAGGGCCAGGCTTGACGATTCACCCATCACCATTCAGTGCGCTCACCTGGACTTTGATGGAGAACACATTGGCCCCGTTACGCAGACAATCGACATTCATCGATACGAAGGCCAAAGGAGCATTCGCTCTCTCCCCGTCGTTCCTCTTCAATGGGCCAGTAGCCGTAACTTGAAGGATACATTGATCAAGCGGGGTTCAATGTTCATCGAAGTATGCGACCCTCAACGCCGCGGCATTCCAATGCACTACTCAGGGCTTTCTCTCGAAACACAAGAAGAAATCGATAGCCAAGTTGTCATTGACTTCGAAGAAGCCTTCGCCGCCAACGACGTCGGTGGCAAAACCAAGCCCTCTGGCTGGACGGTCGAAAAGCTTGTCCTCGAACGGTTCGCCTCCGAAATCAAAGACGACATTCAACTGTACCTCCAGGACGTTCAAAGAAACTGGAAGCCTAAGCTCAAAGATATAGGTCCGGGTGGTGATTCTGATGCGGGTCAGCAATATGACAGCTCGGATAGCATTGAAGTTGCTCGTCGCCGTCGCCGTCGCCAACAGCAAACTTGCCTTCCACAGTGTTGTTCCAAGGAGAAGGTTCACGATGACGTTTTCGTGGAGCATAACCGGACTAGTGAATTTGTGCACAGTCAGTTTGGGGAGACTAATTTGAGTGATGGCATGCCGTCACTGACGATTGCGGCGAGATCGCTGAGAGAGTCGACAGAGGAAGAGGGTTACATCACTGATGAGGATAGGTTGATTATAAGTTATAGGGTCTTTGGATTTATCATGAGGAGCAGGAAGTGGAGTGAGTAACATACCCTTGCTACCATCCCTGCCACTGTATTGGTGGCTTTTCAAGGGAGCCAGGTTGTTATTGGACATGAATTGACAGGAACCGTTGGCAGCCAAGCTCGACGTGACCTATCTCGGCCCCATGAAGGATCAAAACACATTCGACTTGCTCATCCTACCACCTGGGCACAGGGAGATGGTGGAAAGTCTGGTAACCCAGCACTTTTTGGACAAGGCGTCAGCTTACGATGAGACGGATGAAGTCGACATTGTCCGCGGAAAAGGTAACTGGTTGCTAATAGATCACCATTGATGACGGCTAACGTGGAGTGCAGGCAAGGGCTTGATCCTTCTCCTGCATGGAGCTCCTGGGGTAGGAAAGACGACTACAGCAGGTAACTGTTCAAATTCCTGTGAATAGATAGACTTCAACTGACCGAGGTAGAATGTGTTGCGACATACTTCCGCAAACCTCTGTTCCAAATCACTTGCGGCAAGCCCTCCATTGCTCTTTGGCCCCTCGAATGCGATCACTAACAGACGGTCACAGGAGATCTAGGGTCTACAGCCGATGTTGTCGAGAGCCGCTTAGAGAAGAACTTTGCTCTTGCAAGCCGATGGGGCTGTATTCTGCTCATCGATGAGGCAGATGTTTTCCTTGAAGCTCGACAGACTGAGAACTTTGATCGCAACAGTCTTGTCGCTGGTAAGTTCGGTTTCCATCGAAGCATTACTATATACTGACCGCAGTGTCCCCGTTCGTAGTTTTTCTTAGGACTCTGGAGTACTACACTGGTATCCTATTCCTTACCACTAACCGTGTCGGCACCTTTGACGAAGCTTTCACTTCCCGTGTTCACATCAGCTTATACTACCCTCCTTTGAGCCAAGCTTCAACTCTTGCCGTCTTTCAGGTCAACCTCACGCGCATCCAAGCCCGGTTTGAGAAGAAGAAGGAGAGAGGAGAAGCGGAGCTTGAACTGGATGAGCGGTCCATCAACGAGTTCATCCTCGACTACTTCACAGAGAACGAGGACGCGCGTTGGAACGGTCGCCAAATCCGCAACGCATGCAAAACTGCTCTCGCCCTCGCTGAGTTTGAGGGCCAGAAGCTAGCTAACCCGGATGCCAGTGGCGGCCGGAACGTCATGGAGATAGCGGCTATGTCAAGGAAGATGATCAAAGTTAAGTTGACAAAGAAACACTTCAGGGATGTAGCAAACGCATATCTGGCATTTATGAAGTATCTTCGAGAGGTTCATGGTTTCAGTGCCGCACAGCAAGCCAAGAACTTCCGCCTCAGGCATGATCGATGGGGCCTCGGAGAGTCTGCAAGCCTCCTAGCATCAAGGCAGATAGTGTATGGGGGGGGAGGTAGGTCGAAATATGGGCAGCGGTACGGAGCCAGATCAACTGGAAGAACAGGTCAACAAGCACGAGGGCAAAGGTATCGACAAGAACAGAACATGGATGATGATGACATCGCATACGAGTACGGATATGCTGATGATTACCACGCACATCAAGATGACCAGGGATTCATGCAAGACGACGACGACGACGGCCGGGACTTTGAGAACCTACCGTTGTTTGATGAGGAAGACGATTATGATGAGGGCTTTGAAGATCGTCCTTCTGCACGAGGCAAACAACCGGCCCGAAACTATGACGATAACTTTGAAGATCACAAGTACTACCCTGATGAGCAGCACACAACAAAGCATCGACCAGGTCCGTCGCAGGCAGAGGTGAGAGAACGATATCCTGTCCGCGGTGGAAGTCGGGGAAGAGGGCCCGGCCGCAGCCAACAGGCGCCGAGAAGGGGTGATCAGGTTCACAAGGGAAGATTGATGCCAGGGGCATACAGGAAAATTCCTCCTGATGAAGCTGATTAAACACGGCGTTCAGAAAAGGTTGCATTCTGAGAGATTGCTGTTCATTAGGGAGCCATTGTTGCACAAAGATTAGATACCCGATAGCATTTTGGTCACGAATATGGCTAAAGGTTGGCAGTTGAGTTAACTGGAGTACATCTACTGTGCATGAATATGAGCTTGAATCTACCACTCGTCATGCATGTCAGCAACGGCGCAAGTGTATGATATGTACTAAAATCTGTAACAGGAGACCATGAGTATGACTCGTAATTCACAGTCAACTGGTACATACGACCATAGGTAGTGTAGACCACGGGATCCCGTCCGCTCTCCCATAGTTAAGCCACTAACCGGCGGATTAGTAGTTGGGTCGGTGACGACCAGCGAATCCCCGCTGTTGTATGTTTTTGCTGATCTTAGCAAGTCTGCTTATTTTTGCAGAACATCACTCTGCACCTTTTGTCTCAGATAGATAATTGTCAATTAACCCTACTTGCTAGATTGTATACCGAAAGAATGTCGCATTATCGCCTCTCTCCCGCTCAGCGTGCTTCTCGTCCTCAGTATACAAGCTAGGATCCTTATGTGTAGCATCCCGGCGAGCATTCTCACGGCGTAGGTATATGGCCATCCAGACGGACAAGATCAACGCCATTACCTGGCAGCCCAAGAGAGTACCGAAACCGGGGAAATATCTGGGGGCATCTTTTTTCAGGAAAAGATAGGATGCAATGATGCCGCCAAGGTTACCACAGCTCACGTTCATCGCGATGCCGACGCCTCTCTTGAGTGATCCACCGATGTTGTTGCTGTTCCAGGCAATGCCTTGGGGAACAGATGGGAATATACCCGAGGCGAGAAGGAAGCAGCCGAAGTAGCGGACTCCAGAATGGCGAACGGCCATGAGGAGAATGAGGCCAAGTCCACTGGTAGGTTCGTCAGTATGTAGCTACAAGCATCAAGGCCCGATGTTTACTTACGCCATGGTGATGAATACAATCATGAAGATTCCTCTCTGCTGGATCTTGTCGGCCCACCAGCCAGCCACAACGCACACAAAGCACGCGACCAAATACGGAGGAGTGCTCATAAGCTGGGCAGTCGTACTAGAATAACCGAGGTCGCGAATGATGGTGGGTAGAAAGAGAGAGTAGGAGTACACTCCGGTAAATGTACCAGTTGCGATAAGCATGTGTACCCAGATCTTCAAGTCTTTGAATGCATCCCAGACGTACTTCATTTCGAACTCTTCGGCTAGCCCCGATCGATCAAGCATCAAGCGTTCTTGGATATGTTTCCTCTCTGCGTCTGTTATAAATTTGGCTCGGTCGGGATAATCTGCCATCAGCTTGAATGAAGCCAGTGCTGTAGGTCACAACTGTTAATACCAATCTCAAGAGGAAATCACAAATGGAATACGTACCGACTGCTACGGTGAGAAGACCTTCGATGATAAAGACCCATTGCCAGCCTGCCAACCCTGCTAGACCTCGCATCTCCATAATACCACGGGCGAGAAAGCCGCCAAACACACCAGCAGCCGTCGCAGCAGAGAAGAAAATCGCCATGCGAAAACCACACTCGTGACGACGGTACCACATGGTGATACTGAAAATGTTAGCCAACGGCTCAAAAGTTCGCGATCGACTAGAGACGTACTAGTAGGCAATTCCCGGAAACAAGCCACCCTCTGCTAGACCAAGGAAGCTCCGTGCAGCCAACAGACCAGCGTAATTATGCACTATACCCATCAGGGTGCAGCAAATACCCCATACAACCATCATAGAGGGGATCCAGATCCAGGGCCTGAACCGCTTCATGCCCATGTTGGATGGGATTTCTGCTATGATGTAGAAGGGGAAGAATATAGCGAGTGCGTGGTTGTACATTATACCTGACATGTTGAGGTCTAACTCAAGGGTGTCCAGACGAGCGTTGCCGATGTTGGTGCGGTCGAGGAACGAGAGGAGGTAGAGTAGAGAGACGAATGGGATAATGGACCAGTCGATTTTGCGGATCAGTCTTTTGGTGTCGGCTTCAGTGAAGCCTGCGCCCTCGGCCAAGGACGCTTTCGCATTGTCCGTGTTTTCAGCAATATTGATACTGCCTTTGTCACTCATGGCAGCGGTCAGGTTGGAATAGTGGATGTATGGAATAAAGAAGTGGTTTGAAAGCTGATCTGCACTCTTATGGTGCGTCTTCTTGGGTCGTATTTATACCCCCATACAAGGGATGATCGATCGCAGACATCAATGCGTTCTCCTCCAAGACTCAAGATCTGATCCCCCAAAGTCTAGATCATCTTGATGAGGCTAGACAGCTCTTGGCGATCTGGGGTAACTGCAAAGAGGGATATTCTGATTCGCCATAGCCCGAAAGCTTGTATTTTAGACTTAAATTAGACTTATCTTCATCCTGTTTTCCCCGCACGAAGCTAAGTCCAGGTATAGCAGGTGGAATGTTAACTACTTGCATGCGGGATATTGAACTTGCCGATCGAGTGAGACATGGCTTGGAAACACGGTTACACGGCCCGAGCACGGTCCGAGGACAAAGTCATAGCCGGGCAGGGTATCTCTTTGCCAATACAAACTTCTGGCAACTGGTATCAAAGTGTTGACGTCACTCGAGACAATAATGAGGAAATTGGACCTAACGGAATTACGGTATGAATCTACGTATAACGAACATGCGTCTCGGGTCGTATCCATCTCAGGATTTGGAACCGCCGTCGAATCCAAGATGGATACAGATCCGGACTTCAGCCCATATAAGGTACTTAGATTCGGTGCTTGCCGCGTACTCAAGAGTACGTCCCCTATGCTGAGAGTGCTAACAGGTGAGATATGCATTTTAAAACGTCGTGATAAGGATAGAGAGGCTTGGGCTTTTCTTTTCCAGCTAGCTGTTATAAGGAATAATATTATATTTACCCCTAGAAACCCAAGGCAGTTGAGCCGATCGATGGGTGTTATTCAGACGCTCATGGCACCTGACTGATTCCATAGTAACCACCAAGCCTTGCAATCTTCAGCAGCCTAATGCAACGTTTTCAGTTCCAATGCCTAGCTACTGGTACATGTAAATCGAAGCACTCACAGCAAAATGGCACAAAACAGAGGGTTAGAAGATACCGATTCTATGCTATAAAGAAAAGGGGTTGACTCAGCTCTGCATATACCGGGGGGCCTTGGATGACTGATGGTGGAGCGAGCCGATCATAGCAACCCTACCTTTGACGAAACATGTGTTATACAGAGCTGCTTTTCTGCAAGGGACTCTACTGATATGTCCACAAAGCGTAATCCGAAGTAGATTATGGCGAAAGTGAGATTGTCGCTTGGACTGCTGGCCCTAGTGAGGCCTGCTGTGGTGTCAACGGAAAACTATCAGTGAACCCTGTGTCGGTGTTTGTGTTTATTGGCAGAACTCTCAAGCACCGCATCACTTCTTTTACAAGTTGCTGGATTTGTTGAAGTCCCTTTCTTGAATCTGGGTCAAGATCCAGCCCGCTGTTGAGCGATTTCACAATACCGCCAAAGGTAGCCCAGGCATCAACGAGTTGATAATAGAGATTGCGAAGTGGACCGCTCAAGTTCATGTTGACGGGTTCAAGGCTTTGCTTCACAGTTTCTGATAGCCTGATGACTCTGGAGCAGGCGTCTAGTGCAGACTGCCGTCTCTCCACGTTCTGGATCTGGGCTTGGAATCTGCGGCCGGTAGATGGTAGAGTCTCTGGGATGAGTTTGCATAGTCGGTAGAGAGCTACGTGTAACTGATGAAGAACCTCGGGTTCTCCATCCAATGCCAATGTACGTGCTGGTGGTGGGAGTGTCCATTGAGACTCTTGAAGAGCTGCGTCTTTATTTGGGGAGCGTTTAGCGTGCCCCGGACCAGCCGTTGGAACAGATGGGTTTGATTTGCCCTTTGGGCTTTCCCGTGTTTGTCTTTTAACGGAGCCGAGTTCGGTGGTTTGCTGGAGCGTAGCTGGACTCTGGAAACAAAGAAATTCGGCTCGTAGCCCCATAACACTAGCATACAGGCTGCAGATCAAGTCGTTGACAAAGCGCCCTTCTGCCCGTTCAACAAGAACTTCGATATTTCGACAGACCTGCGAACAGACCGGAAGATACGCCTTTGTTAGAACACTGCAAGCGCGCCTGATCTGGTTCATATTTTGTTTCATCTTCGAGATCTCATCAGCCTGGGTGGCATAAGTCTGAATCTGCTCTCCGAGTTCGCCAAGATGGAGGCTTGCGTTATATGCTACCATCTGAAGACTTGATCGTCTAGAGCCTCCGTCACTTGTGAGATCTGATAGAGCTTCGATAAGCCAGTGTATTCGGTGGATGGAGAAGAAGACTGTTCGTGCCATATCTAACAGGGGATCTCGTGTATTAGACCGAGCAATCGGAACGATTTTGAGAAGTTCACCTGTCGAGGAGAATGGGTAGTCTTTCGGTTCTTGTACTTGGGCTCTTGGATACACCGTAGTATTGAGACTTAGTCCACGAAGATGCTGACTCAGTCTGTCTGTTGATGGCAACTGGGGAATCTGTTGCAACCCGAACCTCTTATTCACATGGACTACTGACAGATCGTTGCGGGTACGAACATTCCGAGGATCCGGTGTCTGAAGGCCGCTAGAGTTGTTTGATGAAGTCTCTACACCACCTTGTTTCTGGTAAGTTGTCTTGGGGCTCCAGGGCGCTTTGCAATGCATTGAGGGAGCTTTTGAGTGTGACTTGGGCGAGAAAGGTGATGGGCATGAGTTTGGAAGATCGGCTCTATCAGTTCTAACAGGGAATCGCCCAGCACGGCTTCGCTTTGAAGAGTGTTGGCGCGTTTCGAACTGTTGATTTGAGCCCATCGCTGTCTGTGGTGCAGACCGGCTTGCAGTATACCTAGTATTGTGTCTCAATACTTGCTTTATCTGAGCCGTAACATCCATATCAGTGCTTTCGTTGTCTCGAGGACTGTTGGAAGCAGCGTCAAGGCACTGTGCCTCGACAATGCGACTCAGCATCGGAGTCAACGGGTTGCCGTCGATCTTGAGGGCTAGTAGCGCAGTCATTTCAGATATACAGAACGGCAGATGCTGAATCCTATTCTTTTGGATTGCCAGGACTTTCAGCGATGCCATCTTTGCGATGTCGCCTGGGAGGCATTGGATCTTATTTCTGCTTAGGTCAAGGATCTCGAGACGACGTAACTCTAAGAGCTATCCCAGAGTTAGCCTTCTACAATGCCCATATCATAGCGGGGGTGAATATCTACCACGGGAGGGAAAACATGGATACAATTGCTCCGGATGTTGAGGTAGCGCAAAGATGTAAATAGTGACAGATGTGGTGGGATGGTCGACAGACTGTTGTGAGATAAAGCTAGCCTGTTGGTGGACTGGGTCAGCAGGTGGAAATAAGGGTGACTGGTGGAAGCGCGGACCGTTCGACGTTGGGAATTGAGGTTATTGAGAGCATCAGCCGATAGGTCTGAGAGGTTATTGTGGCTGAGGTCGATGGTGACGTCCTGATCAGCAGATAGCACAGACATGGCCATCTTCTCTATTCAGTCCTTCCATTAACAACGGCTTCAGGCGTCCTGCTGTACGTCGTTCTAGAGTCGCTTTTTGTCGCTGCAGGATAGTTGGCCTGGCGACGACGGATCGCGCTGTCTGGCCGCTGTGCGGATGTGAATTGAAAGGGAGATGTGGTGTATCTGAGGCCTGAGGGAGGATATTATTCTTCAATTGAGGTGCCAGTAGATGTTATGGGGGGGGCTATGGAACCCGCTGCGCTGGATGCAGTGTTGATGTTGTAAATCAACAGTTGGTCGTAGTTGGACGGGACACTCACTGGAAACGCGGAGTCACATGCTGGCTTAGGTAACATGCGTTCATAGGCCAGCATCAAAGTCATAAACTCATGGCACATTTCAAAATCAGTCAGTTCTGAGGGAAAACAGGACCTTATAATATGTTCGATTGTCTCAATATAGTAAAGAGTATTAAAAGTTGAAGACTATTCTCATCTTATCAATCCATGCTAATCCACTCACCCCATCGCGCGCAATTGACCATTATGGTTATATCTCAATCGTCATGCACTCTTCACTTCTCGGTCGTAGCAACTGAATGCTGAGCATCCTCCTCATGTGCAGCACCAAGCTTGGCTTCGACATCACCCTTCTCAGCCCTGGTGGTCAGGTGAGTAGCGACGTGAGTCTTCCAAGCTGGAGTACCGATGTATTTGATACCATTAGGATCCTCAAACATGTCCGCAGTCTCTTCAAGTGTCTTTCCAGCCGTTTCGGGGAACATGAAGAAAACATGGATGAACATGGCAACGTTGAAGACACCGAAGATGATGTAGCTCTTCCAGGTGATGTTCTCAAAAGCAACGGGTGTGAAGAGTCCAAGAGCAGTGTTGAAAGCCCAATTAGATGATGTAGCGAACGCGACACCCTTTCCTCGAAGACGGAGAGGAAAGAGTTCGGGGGGATACGTCCATGAGGCTGGGCCCCAGGTTGGTGCGTAGGATGCGACGAAGAGATATGTGCAGGCGATGAGGCCCTTTGCAGCACCTCCGCCAACACTCATGGAGACTTGGGGTGAGTCACGCTCATCCTTGGGAATCTCGGTGCCGTGGGCAGCCAAAATACCGGCGTTGGCAAACATCCATGTGCACATGAGAGTAGCGCCGATGAGGAATGTTGGGCGACGTCCCCATTTGTCCATCCACAGAAGAGCGGGAATGGTCATCAAGACGTTGATGATGTACTGGATAGATGACGCGAGAAGGTTGGCGTTACCCTTGTAGCCTGCCATCGAGAAGACGTAAGAAATGTAGTACACTGGACGTGTTAGCACCAAATCTGCAGATCAGTGAAGAAGACTCACTCATGACGTTCATGCCAGTAAGCTGTGACCAGATCTGCGTAAAGATACCAATGACCGTCCTGTTGATCATGTTGGGCTTGAACAGATCAAGGTACGTAACATCAGCAATCGACGCCTCAAAAGCACACATATCCTTAATATCCTGCAACTCCAGCGCCACAAACGGATGATCAGGATCTCCATGTCCATGCACAAGAGTAAGTACACCATGACACTCATCCCACCGATCCTTCCTCGCCAACCAACGCGGCGATTCTGGCAGCAACATCATCATAAAGAAGAGAAACACGCCGGGAACCATCTGAAGACCCCAGGGCACACGGAACGCGGCGGTGGAGTAGTCGGAGGAGTGGCGACCGCCGATCATGGCGCATCCGTAGGAGATGTAGTACATTATCAGGATGCCCCATGTTATGGCCCATTGCTGCATGCCGATGAAGCGGCCGCGCTTGGAGGGCGGGGAGATCTCGGCGATGTAGACGGGGACTTGGGCGGATTCGATGCCGACTGCGAAGCCGTTTATGATACGGCCGACGACAAGCATGCCGATGTTTTGGGAGGCGCAGGAGATGATTGACCCGATGATCCTATCAAAGTCAACATGTTACTTTTGTCCTAGAGTGTTAATAACTTACCAGATGATACAACCAACCATGATAGAATACTTCCTTCCAAGGCGATCGCTGAGAATGCCTGATACCAAAGCACCAAGCCACGAACCAGCAGCCATACTCGCCGTTATACCACCCTGGTTCAACGACGTAGGTCCACTGCAATCCTCATCATCATCAAATGGCGGTCCCTTTGGACCCTGGTTAAAATAACATTTATAAGAGTTCTCGCCCAGTTGGGCAGAGATGGAAGAAATGTCAAAGCCGAAGAGTGCACCGCCTACGACGGAGACACCGGCGATTACGTAGATGTTGCCAATAGGCATGGTGTAGTCAAACCAGCCTGTAAGTAATTGAGCTGTTGTCAAAGCAGTTTATAAGTGATTCAGCAGTAAGATCAACGGTGCAACTGGAGCGGGGGGTGTGTTTTATAGCTGTTGATCTGGTTACACGATGGCCTCGGGTCAAAGAAGGCCGTTAATGTGGGCGCAGAAGGATTCTAGTTTGTCCTACGGTTACATACAGATGAGCTCCTGATGCTGGAGATCCTTGCTGTTGGGAGCTTCTCCACTGGGCACGGGCATGGTGTTCTGGGGTTGATGGAGGTGGGTAGGACATGGAATTGTTTGTGATATGACGTATCGCCAAATCCTTCGAGCTTTTGGATGTCTGTCAGTTATTATGCTATCACCTAAGTTCTAACGATCCATTGGCGTTGATTTCAATCCGGGCTATTCAGCTTTCTATAGCTTCACTTGCTTAAGTTCTTTACCTAGGTACATTGAGATACAATGATAAAGTCAAAAGTTAACTCTATCCCCATATTCTCCATCTCCATACGAAAACCCATCATCCCCAAAGATCACCACTTTCAGTGGACCTCTCATCCGTGACGTTACATCTTTACCACCGAGCATTTGGCCGTTCTGTTCTCACTCTCTATTCGGTAGTGTGCTGCCGTGTGGTGTCATTGCCGATCATGTCACTTTGGATCAAGAAAATATCCCGTAAAGCATGGATCTTAAACGCGTAAATTGCTTAAAACCGGTAAGCTCACCGGGCTGATCATTTCGGATCCGAGAAAAGAAAGAAAAATGGTGTGGTTTTCCCCCGGATCTCCACTGTGGGCAATAGGTCCGAATACAGAGGCGATAAGCGCTGCAATGAGACCCAAGAGTTTTTGGGGGGTCACATGTTTGGGGGTGTTTTGACAGGCGAAGGTTGGTGATACCGTGGATCTTGTGATGGGATGGATTGGGAGATGCGAGAATGGCATTGTTATGATTCTGGCTAAATATGCTTGTTGCAGAATATTGTCTTGTGCTTTTGGAAGAGCTTGACGGTCATGTGCATTTAGTGGGCTGGTCCAAACCGCTGGGAGCCGAGTATCATATCACCAGAGTTTGTAATTGTCAGCCAATCCATTGATAGTCACTACACTCTCGGCTTTGTCAACATTCTACAGGCCTTGATTGTAGCTTCAAAGCTCTTCAAAGCTCGCATCAGTTGGCTTCGTCTACCTCAAACGGTTTGAGGCCTGGATGAATGTGAGTGAGCCCTTGAGGGTTCGACGACTGCTACCCTACACCGTATGGCGCGCTACGATCGCGTCGCGTTTCCTTGGTGAGACATGAGCTGAGGCACTTCCCTTCCGCATTCTTGTACCTGTATCCGAAAGCCTCGACAGCTTCGTTACCTGGGCGCATTGTGTCTTGCATGAGGCTGGTGAATGAGACCTTAGTTCTCGCAGACTGCCAACTATGAAAACTTGTGGCCATTATATTTCACAGAGAGCTCCTGGTAATTGACAATCATGTAGTCAACAAACCCAAGACAATTGCGCTTGGCGTGGCGTGCCGCATGTCGCGTCACTGCCGGAGCTACTGGAACATGCCGACGCCTCCTCTGCAACTACAAGCGTGGCCCTGTTGAGCCTCATCACAAATGCTGCCACTCTCAGACTACCATGTCATCTCAATCATAGATGTCAATTTCGTCATTACCATCATAAATGCTATCGGTATTAATCTCGTAGACGAGCACTCATCGCTCGTTCTCATGCAATGTCATGCAATGCTTCAACGCCAAACTCCTCGTATGCTTCTCAAGAAGCTCAATCAGAACCTCACCATCATTCACTCGCTATGCCCCAAACTCCTCAATCACACTCCTCCCCTCCATAAAATCATTGTCAACACCCGTATACGGAATCTTCAACCCAAACCCCTCAGGCCCACCAACCTTCATACCCTTATCCGTCTTCCACAGCGGATGCGCCGGCAGCGCAACAACGTTAACGCGCAGTCCGTACCGCAAGTCCTGAGATCCAATGCCCTCACCGTCTTGGCCCAGAATAGAAATCAGATCGGGAACAGTGCATACGACCTGCTGTGAAGCTTCTGAACCGTCGGCGTCGCAGAGGGCTGCGTAGAGGTACTCGTTTTGGAAGGGGATCACCATGTGGCGGTCGCTCGGGACGTCTTGGTTGTGGGATTCGCGCTCGTCTTCGCTGAGGGGCGCGATGACGACGGAGCCCATGGTGTAGCCGCCGCCGATGTAGCGACGGACGTCGACGATCTTGCCGGTGAAGAGGAGTTTTCCAGCGCAGACGTCAAACTAACCAGTTAGCAGTGC